TACGAAGTTCTTCGTGTCATGAAACAGCATGAACATTTCTATATTCCTGTTGATCGTTCTGATAGCATTCTGATACCTAAAACTGCATTTCTTGTACCAGTGTCTTAAACAAAACCGCTCTGTTCTTACTCTATTTCTGGTCTAATTCTGTTACGAGCTCGACAGTTTATTTATTTAACGTTTTTGAGTTGGCTCCTTTAAAAAAAACACAAGTAAAATAAATTAATCAGTAAATCATTTGACAGAGTTTGTCATTGTTACAATCAAATGAAGGTTCGATATTCGCTGCTATTCACTGGAAAATGCACAGTACTTCACAACGGTACATTTTGGGATGACTATGATCACTACCGTTGTGCCACATACATTTTCAACAATTGTAACACGTATGGGGCATTCGAGGTGATATCCAAAATTTCTGAACATTACGTGTGAACAGAATGTAGTACGGACTATTACCGTAACCTTTGTGAGTAATACATTTTGGCAGATGGTTTTAAACATTTCCGAAGACTCTCTTTTAATGGAGAAGATGGAAGCTAGCATTTACGGAATTTTTTTGAGGTTGAATTTGAGGTAACATATCATTCAGAAATGTCAGATCCTTTTAAAGGAGGTTGATTGTTTGATTTTAGCTGCACATGAATCTCTATTCCTGTTTAATGCCGAAATCTGCATGTTTTGAACGTAATTTTATGCTTTCAACAACAGATATTTCATGCATAAATTTATAATAGGCTGGTGCATAATTATCAGGCGTTTTTAAACAATATTTATTATGAAAAAAGAAACATAATTCAACAATAACATTTTAAAATTATTATTCCGGATCGTATGACTATCGACACGCATTTTTATAACCTGAAAATAAAACAATATTTTTATTAAAAAAAAAAAACAAAACACCAATTTTTATTAACAAATAACTTGGCTACAAAAACGCTTGATAATTATGCATCAACCCAATACTTTCAGGGCAAATTTGTTTCTTTAGATATATAGTTTGTAGATCATAAAATATATTGTTGATAATTTTGATACAAAAATGTATTTTCATAATTTTATTGCTGCATTGATTGTAATTTTGCGATAAAAAATTGTTACTCATTTTATTATAAAAATGTACTGTTGGTTTTTGTTTGTGGAGTGTTCACTATTTACCCATAGCAGGGAAGCTAACAGGTGCTACAACACCTTTTAAAGAAGGATGTGTCTGTATCTTGGTGGGGGGTGATTCTACGATTTCAAGAAAGTTATAAACATGCTTATGTAGAGTACACATGCATACGACAATGTATAACACAAAACGAAATAGCTGGATAAGGATAAAATCTCCTCAGCAGACTCTAAAAGCTGAGTTCTGAGCTCCATGGAAGAAAGGTGATGTTTCCGTGTGGTGGGATCATCGGGATATTCTTAAAACACAGTAAAACACTAAATTCACATTTATACTTCAAGCAGCTGCTACGTATCCGGGTAAGACGAGAAACTACACCCGAGTCCTGGGTGAAACGATAAACTAGGTCCAGCAGCAAGGCCTCTAATCTGGAGGTTTTGAAGAGCGTGGAACTAACTTTTAATTGTTGATGTTCCCAGGTTCATCTTGACCTGGGGTGGTAGCACCTGTTAGGGTCCCAGCTATGGGCAAATAGTTAAAACTGGGGTCAAAACTAAATGAAAGTGTAAAAAAAAGGTTTTAATATCAAAAAAAGATTTTTTGAGGAAAAATTATTACCAGAAATACATTTTTGAAGGAAAAAAGTATTACCGGCAATAAAAATCTTGTCGGCATTAAATAACCCATTGAGGTTGATATGCCGTAAAACAAAACTAACCAAACCTGGGTAGTAGCAACTGTCCCAGCTATAGGCAAATAATGAACCTCCTAAAACAAAACAAAACACTATGAAAAATAAAATACATTGCAAAATCCCCCCCCAAAAAACAAAAAAACAAAAAACAAAAAAAACACCGTAATGACAAAGATAATAATCTATATCGCGTCCTGGGTAAGACGATAAACTACATCCAGCAGCAAGCTTCTGATCAGGACGTTTTGATGAACGTGGAATCATCACTTAATTGCTGTTATTCCCAAGTCCACCCTGATCTGGGGTGGTAGCACCTGCTAGGGTCCCAGCTATGGGCAAATAGTTAACCCCAAACTGGGGTCAAAATACCATAAAAGTATAAAAATACATTTTTCTAAAAACTTATTACCGACAAAAAATTATTACCAGCAATACATTTTTGAGAAAAAAACATTACCAGCAATAACAATCTTGACGGCATTAAATAACCCATTAATGCTGATATGCCGTAAAACAAACCAAACCAAACAAATCTAAAGCAACGTGTCCATAAAAGTTTGGTCGGAAAGCACCCTACGTTGGTTAATAAGAAAGATATAATAACGCAAGGTCACGTAGAGCAAGAAGGACACAAGAAAACATTTTTGGAACTCGGTTGGTCTATTCTACCCCACCAACTATTTTCAATTGACCTTGTAACGCCCCTTTATGACCTTGTGTTCGTCGAAAATATTTTCACAACAAAATCTGCGGAGTTTTGCTCAAAATGTATCGAAGAGCTGCCTGATACGCGGTAACTATCACGATTACGAAACTGGTAACCCTGTTAATGTCGTAGGGCACAACACATACTGCTGATACAGTAGGAATGATGTTTACTGGGCAAGATATAGCCTGACGGAGCCCAACACTCTCCAGGCTGATTTTAAATTCAGAGTTTTCCTTCTCCTCGGTCGGTTGCCACCCGAAGCTATAGGAACCTCTTTTACTCATGGCTAGGAAGAAGCGGTAGATTTATATCTCTTCCAAGGGTATTAGCACGTAAGTGAATGTTATGAACTCAACTGGAATTCGAACTCGTTTCTCCGGTTCCTCAACACGAGCCGCTATCTATTTCTCCACGTAGTAAGAATTCATTGCAGATAATGGTGAATAAAATGGAATTTTACTTTCTTATACGAGGAATGGAGTTGGTAAACAAAAAACGGAAATTATTTAGGAATCGAGTTGATATATATCGTTTTTCGCATGTAGATTTGTCTGGTAGCAAAGTTATTTTACTAACGAGCAACAAATCCTGCTTAAATGATTCCCTGTTTTCAGTACAAAACTGCGTATTAAGACCAGTGAATTAACTCATTTGCCCGCTTCGCGTTTTATTTAATATCGTTTTTATCTGTCATGACTATCAATATATTAAGGAAACATTGTCTTCAAACTGCCAAAAAATTGTACTGCTTCTGAAATCTAATAAAGATATTCACTTTTAACTCTCATAATTAAGGCTTATTGATGATTGAATATAATCAAGAGCTAACTAAATAATTAACAATACCCCAAGATAATTACGTTTCTAGTGGTATCATGAATTCAAATTAAAAAAAAAAAGATACCAGATTTATATCTTGTTTCGTGTTTGTTAAGCAGTTTCAAGTTAACACGAAAATAATGGAGAGTAAATGAATTTTCATTAGAACATATTTAAATCGAGAATTTCAACAAAAAGAACTAATTGGTATTGTGTGTTTCCTATGCATTCTCCTTGATTGTTAGCAAAATGTTTCGGAGAATCTCGCCGTAGAGCAATAGCTACCTTTCTAATGTGACAGATGATTACCATCGAGGTGAGTTCGAATCTTACCAAAAATTTGCGGGGGGGGGGAGGCGACATTTTCGTTAACATCTCTCCAAAATCGCCGACCAAATCTATATTTGTAAATTACATTTTGTGAATATGAAAAATTAGTAATGGGAACATCTTGTTGCTTTAATATACGGTGGACAATTTTTTGGATTTATTTTTCTTTTAGGAGGAGAGGTGGTACTTATTAAAAAGTACATGAACAAAAAAAGTATGAATCTAAGTTTACAAAGGTTTCAACCTGAAGGTTAAAGCTTATAACGGCCGAAACCCTGTGTGGATAACAAGTCAGTTGTCTTCTAGGTGATCATGTATCTTTCGATACATGACTGACGAGGCAGATTTTTCTCGCAGTAGGTTGTCATTTCTTTCTGCGGTAGACCAGTTGCCATCCAAGCCAATAGAACCCGGTCTGTTCTGCTTCCTATCCATAAATGTGGGGGGGGAAGAAGAAGATGATTCATACCTTTCCCAAGGGTATTAGCACGTAAGTGAATGTAGTGGTTCTGACTAGAATTCGAACTCGGCTCTTCGATTTCTCAATCCGAGCCGCTAACAAGCAAGACCATTATTGCAGTCCGAATCGAAAGGTATAGTATTTAAGAAAATATTATTTATAAATTAAGATATTTTTTGTTAATCTGCTGTTACTAAAAGCTTTGTCGAATTTTATAAGTTACATGCAATTAATATTTTTAATCGAATTCACCCCAAACAGGGCAATAAAGCCACTAAGAGGGATCTACTCTGTTTGGAAGAATTAGAAAACAAGAACATTATTAAGGAGAGAGAACAACAGAAGTGTAATAAGGAAGACGGTAGATAGCGATAGACATAGCATTTAAATTTTTGAAGGTTTACGTAGGCTAGAAATAATGAAGCTGGAAAAGATTTCCCCAATGCGAGAAATAAAACTATTTCCATAGAAATTACGGTTGCACATAACCAACAACTCGGACCATATGTTGCAGAAATATTCTAAGCATGGAAGAATGGTAGATTTATAAATATGTAAAATAGATTCTGGAGAGAAAAAATATCTGAATATTCTTGTATGTGAGAGATGTAACTGAAAGTTTTGTGACTCTGAAAATGTAGTACGGATCATTGACACTACCATCTATGAGCTGTACCGTTTCCATACTCAAATGGAGAAATCCTTACTATAATAATCTCGCAGAGAGTTCAATCCTAACTGGTTGACCTGAACTCCGTGCTGTACTAAACTTAGAAAAGTACTTAGCGTCGGACAAGTGGAAAGTTACTCAGTGAGGATCGAACTCACTACAGTTTTAATACAGAGCTAAATTATTTCGTTATCCGTAGGCTTACGGCCACAGCACGCTGAAATACCGGTTCCCGTACGATCAGCGAAGTTAAGCAACGTCGAGCCTGATCAGTACCTAGATGAGTGATCACTTGGTTAAGTGTAGCTTTCCCACATATCTTCCTAGACTGGGCCTCTTACCTCTTACATTTACAGCTCTCACAGCAACATTCTTCAGTAATCCTCTATCTTGAGTGGCTTACGGCCACATCACATTGAAACACTGGTTTCGTTCAATCTACGAAGCAACGTTGAGCCTGGTCTGTGTAACCTCTCTGTAAACTTGGATGTGCGGATGGTTTTAAATCGGTGAGCAGAGGTTCAATATCCGTTTGGTTCGTTAAATTCACTTACGCACAAATACCCTTGTGGAAGGTAAGAATCTACCCCTTCTACCCGCAGCTATGTGTTAATTATTAAATCTTTTATCACTAAACCCTTATTATCTCCTCCCTTAGAATCTAAAAATATTTCATGGCTTTAAATAACCTGCAAAGGGTTGTTAAACCGTAAAAAAGAATCAATTGATAAATTATCTTATTTACTCATAACGTGCTAATTATTTGTAATGATTTTGATCCTCGCCGAGCACCTTTCCATTTGTATTCCTTTGACATACTAAGCTGAAGTCGCTATACTTACAGGGTGCAGAAAAAAAAGCTACCTCTTAAGGTTAGTAAGTATAAAGAGTTCGTGCCCTACATCATACATCGAGGCAGTACATGCAAGGGAGGGGCCTTGGATTAATCCATGAAATCTTAATCATCCCCATGCGGAAGTGCTGACGGGGATTGAGCCATTTTTAAACATGTTCTCCTGTACGAGTGGGACGTCATCTTCAGACGAGGCACTCTGCTACGTTCTGTTCGAGCAGGCATATGGAGAGATACCTCGTCACCAGATCTATGAAGTAAATACTTATTCTAATTTCTAATTTCGATAAACTGTATTATATATATATATATATATATATATATATATATATATATAACTAGACTCAGTTTGAAAAAACCTCGAATTTTGATTTGCTATTAATCAAATCAATCTCGAGGGAAAAAAAAGGTTTTAAAAAAAAAGAAAGAGCTACAAACATGAACTTCTGCCGACAAAAATCGCACAGATGCAGGTCTGAAGCCCAAAGAAAAAAAACTCGATACGAGTAAACAACTAACTAACAAAAGCGCTCAATACAATCGTAGAGCAGACCTAGATACACCTAGTGAGCCAGACAAACCTACCTAGGTTATATATATATATATATATATATATATATATATATGTGTGTGTGTGTGTGTGTGTGTGTCTATCTATCTATCTATCTATCTATCTATCTATCTATCTATCTATCTATCTATATATATATATATATATATATATATATATATATATATAAGTGACATTGATTGTCAACATCAGAGGGCGACAGGCAGTTTCATGCTAGGTCTAATCGTTAGGCCTAAAGATGAGCCTAGTATGAAACAGCTTGTCGCCTCTGAGTATTGACTACAATGTTCACTTATATATTTACATACGCTCTATCTCTGATATTGAGCACTTTATCCCATAAATATAGCCCACCTTGAAACTATATTTTCACACACACACACACACACACACACACACACACACACACACACATATATATATAAATATATAATTATTATTATTAATAATAATAATATATTGCTCTACATTCTATTGAGCACTTTTTATAAACTGTGGATTTTTACAACACAATTTTTCTTTCTCTCATTATATTATATATATATATATATATATATATATATATATATATATATATATATATATATAAAGTGATTTCTTTTCTGTACATAGAGAGTGTTGTACGAGAATGCCTAAGAATGGGAGTTATTTTTCCCAGTATGTTAGTAAGTAAATTTACGAACAATTTTTTTTCAAATGTAGGTTTGAAATTTTCGATTTCTTTTTTATTTTATCTTCGCATAAAATGAAAATATCATCTAAATAGTGGACGTAAATTTTAAGTTTTGTGCCATTTTCAAATACTTTGTTTTCGACTTAAGACATGTAGCTCGGTCTGAACGGATTTCCCATGCCAACGCCATTAGTTTCAGCATAAATATTATCATTATTTTCGTAGAAAGATGCATTAGTTGTGCAGTAATTTCCTGAGAATATTAGGTGGAATCGAATTATATTTATATACAGTTACGGAGTCTATCGATAGTTTTGTCAACGGGGACATTTTGGAATAGATTTTCTACATCAAGAAAGGCTAAAATGCCTTGCTTTGGTTGTATTGTTTTAAGGCTTTGGAGAAATTGATGAGTAGATAGGATACTATATTTAGTGAGTAGATATGGAGTAATAATAACATTACAGAATTTTGAAAAATGGTAAATATTTGTTGGAACTATGAGATGATAGGTTTTACAGGATGATCTAGATTTATGTAAATTAACATTTTCATTTCGGTTAGTAATCTCCGATAATTTTGTTGATTTTCAAAGATCCTACATCAGAATTGTTTTGATGTCATGAGTTTGTTAACGGATTTTCTAAGGTCTCAATGGGATTTGTATTTAATTTATTAAATTTAGACCATCATCAATTATGTGTGGTAAATTTTTATAATAATCCCAATTTGTAAATGTACTAGCTTTATCGAATCTTCTAGTGATAATATAAAAACTTAAAAAAAATAATAATTTGCGGCAGTTTTGAAGATTTTTGTCAGAATACGCTTATAATTTTTCCGAGGAGTGCGATCTTTTAAGTTATCTCCCTTGAGGAGATCTCTTAAGTTTCGAAATAGTTTTATTACTTTATCAGCTAAAGTAATAAAGTGTTAATAAACTACATAACATTTTTGTATTTAATTGGAGAAAAAAATTCAATAAAAGAACTAGTCCGTTATTGAATAAACTTTTTGATATGTCCCGGAAAGGGATATATTTGTTCGAAGTAGAAAAGTGGTTGTTGACTATTGTAACCGCGTAGGACAATCTAGCAGGTAACCGTAATGGACTGGTCCTCGTCGTAGTGGTAGGCAATAGGCCTAGGCAATAGACGAAGACTATAGGCGTCCTTCTGTACCTCCGCATCAGTCTGTATTTATGGCTGACACCAGCCAATCATATTACTGTCATGGGGAACCCAGGTGTATGCATATTCATTACATCACTTTTATTATAATAAGATATTTCAATACGTAAATATAGCTTGTTGTTGAATTAAGTTTTATTAACGATAAAAAACATTAAGATACATTCTATATGAAATTACTTTCATCTCTCTACGAGACCGTCATTCGGTTAGTATAAATAATAGATTGTCTTTATATATTATTCATTTGTTCTACGGTAAATTCTTTTCTTTATATTCTTTCTTCTTATTCTTGATTACTTTTGTCTATTCTCCTGCTAACATATAAGAAAAATGATGCCCACAATTAACAGAAAGAATTTCCAAATGTGGATTTCTTTAATTTCTTTTAAGTTTTTATTCCATTTTGAACAAAATCCGAGATTCGCATCTGTATACATCAACTGCATTATTAATAGGCTTACCATAAATCTCAAACCTGGAAGCTTTTAAATTTTTATTATAGCTTTAGATTTCGTAAATAAGAAAGTGAATTCACAGCCCATCACTCCATTATGCTTAATTTCTGACATACATACACAAACGAACACACGCACGCATGCGCAGGCGCGCAAAATGGTGTACATTTCTATCGCTGGAATAGACCCTTCGAACATGGAGGAACGATAAGTTTCCATATTATTGTAACTACAAATGTTCTTTGTATTTTTACGCAGTCAGATCATGAAGGCTTTCGATCAATCTAAAACTTTACCGTTGTTGTGATTCTGTTTTGTGATCAGTCCAAGTCTTTGGTAAATTTTCAGTATACTTTTTTAGCACATTTTCTTTCAATATTGGCATTTCTCCAGATAGTCTCTTAAGTTAAAACAAAATAATACTATCACAAGTTATATTCTATAAGGGCGTCACGAAAATCTTTCGGGCATACCAAGAATCCAAAGAAGAAAATAAATGCAATACAAAGGAAAGCAACTAAGGCATTGTCATTTGTTTAGACTTTATGAATTGGATCGACTCCATAACGTTTCCACACTCTCTTGAAAAAAATATTTTTAATTTATTTAATTTTATTCATTGATAAATTTCGAAGAAGGATCTGTAATATAATCGACATTGGCCAGGCATCTCGACTTCAGTCACTTTCTCACCGCTGTGGCGGTCTATCTCTGTATTTTCTACAAATATTTTCATGGCAATTGTTCCCGATGAGCTTATCTCCTTGGTAGTTTTAAGCGTGCTACTAGGTTGTCAACTAGGGCTCACCGTTTTACTGGTGAATTTCCTAGATATATCCGTCAGTTGTTTTTTTTAATAATTTCTTTGCTTGCACTTCTCGCCTGTGGAAATCTCTTTCTGAGTTTTGCTTCTCTGCCACCTACAATGTTCAAAACTTTAAATGCAACGTCACTCATTTCATTCTCCATAGTTTACCTTGATTTTACGTTAGTATCAATTATGTTTATGAGCTCTTTTAAATTTAAAATTCAGAAAAAAAATAACGATTTTTTTTATTCCTGTTTATAAATACTTGCTGCGAATTAAAATGCTTAAATTTGCCTTGATAAAGTTCAGTAGAGGACGAAACGCACTGGCTAAGATAAGTTTCTTTTCTTTTTATATATATATATATATATATATATATATATATATATATATATATATATATATATATATATATATTAACACTATATCAGATAAGTTTCAGCTTATAATATTTATCCTTTTTAATAATATTCATATTTTTTAGTCGGGTATTATTATTTGAATAAAATGCAACGTAAATATTTAATTTTGAATAGACCCAAATGATATATAAGCAGAAACTTTTATAAACACAATATCCCATATGCTTAAATATATTTTATTATTTTATATAAATTCTTTGACATTCTGTGACATTCATTGATTGTGTTAACCTTTCTGTAATGAAGACCAAATTCAAGAGTTCGTCGAACACTTTAGTCACATGAAAACCTGCGGTATTTTATTCAAATGGAATCGGATGC